TGAAAGAGTAACACTGACATATATACATTACTACATGTAAAATAGATAGCTAGTGGGAAACAGCTGCATAGCACAGGGAGATCAGCTCAGTGCTTTGTGACCACCTAGAGGGGTGGGATAAGGAGGGTGGGAGGAAGACTCGAGAGGGAGGGGATATGGGGATATACCTATGCATTTGGCTGATTCACTTTGTTATACAGCAGAAACTAACACAACATTGTAAAGCAATTATACTCCAGTAAAGATGTTTAAAAAAAAAGAATAGATGATGGCAGGCCCCATATTTCCTAAATTAACTGATCAGGGGAACAGAAGTGCTTCTGTGTTCCTCTTCCACTGTTTGGGCTTGAATGAGGTCTGAACTTAATAGGGTTGGCAGGTGGAACCACTGAAAATTCTTAACCAACAGAGTGACAGGACGAGACTTCAAAAAGAGGCATGAGCAGTAAAGAGAAAGACAGAGTAGGAGAGACAGGGAGGCTGTTAAGAGGGACTTAGGCCAGAGGAGATGCATATGCAGACCTAGAAGAACCTGTAGCCATGACCCTCCACTGTCTGATCTCACTAACTCTCCCTCATGCATTTGAACTCTGCTCTTTCTGTTTCCTTAGTGGTTCCACTTACGCCCTGCCCCTTCTTTCTCTGTGCCCCTGTCTAGAATGTCCTTGTCCATCCCATCTGTCTATCCATATTCTACACATTTTTCAAGACCAGCTCTGATCGCCTTCCCTACAAAGCTTTCTCTGATTGTTTATTCCAATCCACAATAATCTGTCCTCTTTGTGAATTCTCAGTTTTTCGTTAAAGGAAGGTCTACTTTTCTGACACTGATATGTCCTTAAAAATACCTATAGTTTACTTTTCATCTTGATAATCCACTGGTGAGTCCCTTTCCCAGAAGGTCTCAGGAAAATGATCAACTCTAGTATAATTTTCATCGTTTCTAGATTCAAGAGGCCATCTTGTGGCAAAAAGGGTAAATGCATGCTTTGTAAATAGGAAACTCTTGAGGCCATAATAGCACCTGCAGGAGAAGGGAAATCTATCTGACTTTTGTCTTTTTGTTTTTACAGTTCTCCTTTCTGATACAGTTTCTGAAATACAGAATACATTACAATAAAAATCAAGAATTATCTGTGTAAACGACTGAGTCGCTTTCTAATTATTCTACCCATCTACCCGCTAGTAAGTTATTTAATGGCTGTTCAAATAACATTTGCCAAACATCTATTAATACAATGCTCACAAGGTTGGGGTCTTGTAAGGTGAGTTCAGGTTTTAAAAGGGTCAATTAATCTATGAAGGCAGCATTTCTCAGTGTTCCATTGAAAACTAGTCCCTAAAGTTGGCCTGAGGAAAAAAAGGGTTCCTTGGCCAAATTGGTTTGCAAAGCCCTGAATACTGTGACTTTAGCACAGATATTCCCATTGCACATTAATAAGTCAGAGGATCTGAGAAGTCCTGAAATAAGAGAACCTGTTTAACCCGGTTTAACCCAATGTTTGCCAAGCTTACTTGACCATAAAGCTCTTTTAAAGTTACATCAATTGGGCTTCCCTGGTGGTGCAGTGGCTAAGAATCCGCCTGCCAATGCAGGGACACGGGTTTGAGCCCTGGTCCGGGAAGATCCCACATGCCGTGGAGCAACTAAGCCTGTGCACCACAACTACTGAACCTGCGCTCTAGAGCCCGTGAGACACAACTAATGAGCCCATGAGACACAACTACTGAGCCCGTGTGCCACAACTACTGAAGCCCGCGCGCCTAGAGCCCGTGCTCTGCAACAAGAGAAGCCACCGCAATGAGAAGCCCACGTACCACAACGAAGAGTAGCCTCCACTCACTGCAACTAGAGAAAGTCCGTGCTCAGCAACAAAGACCCAACGCAGCCAAAAATAAATAAAATAAATAAATTTATAAAAAAATAAAGTTACATCAATTAACATTCTGCAGAACGATTGTTTCAGTGTTCCACGCACTTAGAAAACACTGCCTTGAGGTAATTTAGCTCAGGGTTTTTTGAATGGAGCTGAGATTTTATCAAAAGGTAACGTAAAATGTGCCAAACCCACATTCCCACTGCTTCAAGTCCTTTGCTGAACCAGGTTGGGTATTAAAAGAATAAAATCCAATTCCTACCTCCTCCATAGTAAAAATAGCAAGGACTCATATACGCTTACTTTGTGCCGGGCACTATTCTAAGCATGTCACATATTTAATCCTCATAACATCTGCCTGACACAAATACTATCTTCCATTACTCCATTTTACAAGCAAGGTAACTGAGGAACAAAGAGGATAAGTAACTTGCCCGAGGTCGCTGGTTAGCAAAGAGTAGAGTGGGCATTTGAACCAAGGCAGGTTGGCTCCTGAGTCTGTGTTCTTACCCAGGAAGCCCCCCTACCACGCCAACCCGCCAGCCCTTGTCTTAGAGCAAACACTCAGCTCCATGCTGCCCTTGGAACTGCTTTCCATGGATGGATGGTGAACAGTGAGGAGCAACTTCAGGAACACTCTCATATTCCAGATGGGGAAAAAAAGGCACAGACAGGACCAAAGTCAGCCTTTCTCTACTCGGGCTCTCTTCCACCCCCTTGCTGTGTGTGGACACAGAGATTTAGCAGTTGAGTATCACCTGATTGGCCTGCCTGCCAACCATGGGGGGGTGGAGAGGGACTCATTTCTCTGGTCTGGGACTGGTGGTGATGTGGAAAGAATGAGCCATTTTCTCAATAAAATTTAAATCCCCAACACCAAAAAGAGAACTGTCTGATAAAACTGTTTCAAAGTAAGTGGACTGAAAAACGTTTTTGTGTTAAAGATGATACAGTTCGTCATATTTACCCTGAGAAAAGGGCCATTTCCAAAATTGTGATGTTAAGGTATTATGAAAAAGGCCACATTTTGTAATTGAAGATCTTACGTGGTCAGTCCAGGGGAGAAAATAAATCAGATTACTCAATAACAAAGTTTGTTCAGAAGTGCAGTGTTATAATTGGTCCCCAAAATGCAGTGCCTCTGAAATTTTGGCAAAAAAATTCAAATCCTTCAATGACTTAGATAATAAAAGAATGCTTAAGTACAGTTGCAGTGATTTCATTTTCTGACTTTAAAAAGCCATCACTTTTTTAAAAACTCATAAAATATGCCCCACATACATTCTGATTTTCCTGAGGTGACCCTCAAACAAAACTAAATCTTCCACACTGGAGCAGAGGAATTGGACCCTGAAGACTCTTGGGGTGAGACAGGCCTCAAAAGTGCCCCCACCTAGGGCCAGGAGACTTCTGGTAAGTTCCTAGACTCCTCTGAGCCTCGATTTCTTCAAATGGGGACCCTAATACTACTTCCCTTAAAATTTAACAGAAAAAATTCCTCAAGGTCCCTAGAACGGTCATTCCCCTCAAGAAGGCACTAGATTCATTTAAAACAGCTGTTGCTGGCACAGCTCAAGAAACAAGGATCAACTCCTCACTCTCGTCCCAGCTGCCTCCTACCCTCCCGCCCTCATCAGCTTTCCTTCCTACCTCAGCACTAGGGTTGCTAGATTCTCAAACGTGGCTTTTAGTTACGGTAGCTCTTCTAGTGCACTGATAGCTACTATGTTTATCAGAGGAAAAGATGCTCTTTCAGACTTTTGGGAAAATACAGCAGCTGGTTGGTTCCTCCTGCTCTAAGGCAGGGTTTCTCCATCTTGGCGTGATTGACATTTGGGGCTGTCCTGCGCATATGAAGGATGTTTAGCAGCATCCTGGTCTCCTCCCACTAGATGCCAGTGTGCTGCCCGAGAGGTCTCCAGACATTGCCACATGTCCTCTGAGGGGTTCTCCAGGTTGAGAACCACTGCTCTGACTTGAAAGTTTTGAGCCCGAACCCTGAAACCTGAATATTTTCTTCCTGGCTGAAAACTGAAACGAAAGGAAACTCTAAAGAGTAGCCTTCGGATACTTGGTGGTCTCTCTCGCTCTCGCAACTCCCAGCATATCAGCAGCCTTCATGTAACTGCTCGCACATGAGGTAGATGGCCAAACTCAAATGATTCCAAATTTCCTCCCCCTGCCAGCTATAGAATGGGCATCGCACAGGAAAGAGATCTGAGCACAGGTCGTCCAGGGAAATGCAATACTTTTATTCCGAGAGAAGGAAAACTGGGGAGAAAGAATGTTATCTTTATGTACATTAGCCAGCAAGCAGTGGGACCCCGGAAACCTTCTTTGAATGGCCTACACTATCTTCAAACCTGAATGGGAAAGGGAAAGTATCCCATGAACTGGGTAGCTTTGTTAATGAAGTTTTCAAATGCATAATGTGAAAAATATCTAGGTAAATGAGACAATAAAAGTATGTGTCTTGGGGCTTCCTTGGTGGTGCAGTGGTTGAGAGTCCGCCTGCCGATGCAGGAGACATGGGTTTGTGCCCCGGTCCGGGAAGATCCCACATGCCGTGGAGCGGCTGGGCCCGTGAGCCATGGCCGCTGAGCCTGTGCGTCGGGAGCCTGTGCTCCGCGACGGGAAAGGCCACAACAGTGAGAGGCCCGCGTACAGAAAAAAAAAAAAAAAAAAGTATGTGTCTAGGTTGCTGTGGGTGGGCAGGGATAGGTAGCGCACAAGAGATTTTAGGGCACGGAAGCTATTCTGTATGATACTACAATGGTGGATATGTGACTTTATGCCTTTGTCAAAACTCGTAGAACTGTACAACACAAGAGCGAACCCTGATGTAAACTATGGACTTTAGCTAATAATAATATATCGATATTGACTCATCAATTACAACAAATGTACCACACCAGTGTAAGATGTTAGTAACAGGGGAGACGGGGCAGGGCGGGGTATTGCTGGTGTATGGGAGCTGCCTGCACTTTCTGTTTTATTTTTCTGGAAATAGAAAACTGCTCTAAAAAATAAAGTTATTAACTGTTTTTAAAAGTGAGTATTTGGAAAAGCAGAGGTCAGAGAAAGAAAGGAATCATCTCTGTAAATATTTGTAATGTAACATACCCTTCTTGTGTTAGATAATGCAAAATCAAAATAAGAAGATTTTTTCGTCGTGCTTCTGTCCTCATCTCGCACTGTGAACAAAAAAGAAAATGTAGGTGAGACGACAATGAAATATAACACTCCTTTTATAGCAATAAACCCTTGATGGTAAATGTAACCTGTCAAAAGCAAGAAGCATAACTTAAAGGCTGGAAGGCAGTTTGACATCTCTAAGGATATATAAAGTTGTTTTCCATTGTTATTTTCTTCTCAGAGCTGCCTTCTCAATTGTAAACTGAAGGTACAGTGATTTCGATTGGGATTGCACTTGACTAGTTAACTTCTTACTGCCAAGCTAACTGGCATTTTGTTGCTTATCACCGCAAAGAAACAAATATATGCACGTTTATTTGGACCAGGTGAAGGAAAGTGATGATAAACTCATGAGCCAGAAATCAAGATGTACCATCACAGGTACTGACCTGCTACTGCATCTTAAATTCACTCGGAGTCCCACCCAGACCCTGCACAAACGTGGAGATGAATTCCAATAATCCATTCAGGGGGACCCGGCAGCTGAGCACTTAGAATATCCACTGAGGAGCAGAGGCCATAAAGGGGACATTCCTGCATAACAATGTGCTTATTCAAGCTGGATGAATTTGCACTTTTATTCACAGTATTAATGTGCTACATTACGTTACCTGGTATCTCAAATTCCCCTGAAATGTATTCAGAAAATATTTACTTTCACTAATACTTCCCTTACTTGAAAATAACTTACATTTATCTAAGGAGAACACAGGTAAGAACTGGATGAAAGCAAAAAAGGCCCTTGAGTGGCCCAAATTATGTCATAAAATCTAGGCACAAACACATTGATGACATAAAAATTTTTCAGGCATTCATCTAAACTTTCTAAAAATTAATGTAATAAAATTAAAAGTGCATAGTTACTTAAAAATCAAATAGTACTATATTTTCTTTCATTTTAAGTTGCTTTTTCATTGTGATAAAATATACCATAAAATTTACCATTTTAACCATTTTTAAGTGTACAGTTTTGTGGCGTTAAGTATATTCAAATTGCACAACTATCACTACCATCCATCTTCAGGACTTTTTATCTTCCCCAACTAAAACTCTATATTCTTTAGACAATAACTCCATCCCCCTAACCCCTGCCATCACCATTCTACTTCCTGTCTCAGTGAATTTGCCTATTCCAGGTTCCTCGTATAGGGGGAACTCATTTGTCCTTTTGTGACTGGCTTATTTCACTTACAATAATGTCATCAAGGTTCATCCATGCTGTAGCATGTGTGTGGCTCAGTAATATAGTACTATACATTTGTAAGGAAAAACAGTAATCTCTGTCCCACTCCACTACCCCCTCCCCCCACTCCTGAGAGGCAACAACCTTAATTACTTTAGCTGTTTCTTCTGATATTTGCCTCCATGTTTTTAAACATATCACTGTTTTATAATATATGAATATTAGACATTAAACTATTCACTTCTTGTTGAGGTAGATGAGCAGTAAGCTGCCTTACAGACTTCTCACCCTCTCCTCCCCTTACAGTTATAGCAGTATGCAGTGATTACATTATTATGACTGTGTAAATAATGTTGCTGAGTCAAAAAGTACCGTGGTTACTTTACCATTTCTGGACAACATTATTTTCCTTGGAATGAAGAATTGCCTCATGTTAAAAATTTGTTTACTTTTCTATATACCTATTGCTAATTTTCAAATCCCAACATACCTCTAAAGGCCCCTCACATCACTTTCCACACATCAAATACATCAGACAATGTGTTAGTTACACTCCCCCCAGCCATGGCTTCCCTGAAGCCTCCACCCTCCCTCTCCAATCTAGGCTGCTGACTGTTAGGCCTGCCATGGGTGCTCATCCAGGGATTTCCCTTTGACACTTTCCTGCAGTGGATCCCCTAGAAATGGAGTCTTCTCCTTTACTGGTCACTGGTTTGGTTTAGTAAAGCACACATCCGCTAAAGTAAAGGTACACGGAGATAAATGTGGTTGAGAATTTGCATGCCTGAAAGTGTTTTTATTCTATTTAAAAATTTGATAGTTTGAAAGGGCATAACATTCTTATTCCTTTGCAGGTAAAGGATCTTTTATTCCCAGGAAGCTTTTAGAATCTTATTTTTAACTCTGGTGTTCTGAAATTATACAACCTCGTTGGTGCCAGCCTTTTTCCATTCACTGTGTTGGCCGTTGTCAAGCTGGACATTCTCATGCTTCCAATCTAAAAGAAAATGTCTTCTATTATTTCTGTGATAAATTACTCCCCTATGTTTTCTCCAGTTTATTTTTAAGAACCTCTATTAATTGAACGGGATATAACCTGGATTGATCTTTTAAGATTTTTTCTCCTATAGTGTCCCTTTTCTTTGTCTCTTTTTTCTATTTTCTGGGCAACCTCCTTGGCCTTGTCTTTGAACCACTCTACAGAATTTATTTAGACGATAATATTTTTAACTTCCAAGAGCTTGTTCTTATTCTCTGATTCCTTTTTCACAACATCTTGTTCTTTTTTTTTTAAGACATATACCATTTTCCCCATATTTATTTATTTGTTTGTTTGTTTGTTTGTTTTTGCCACACCATGCGTCACGTGGGATCTTGATTCCCCGACCAGGAATAGAACCTGCGCCCCCTGAATTGGAAGTGCAGAGTCTTAACCACTGGACCGCCAAGGAACTTCCTTGTTCTTGTTTTTTGAATGCACTATTCTCTTATGATTCAATGTCAGTTATGTTCAATATTTGCTGTTTATGTAGGCAGGTAAAACACTATTTTATAAAGATATCCATCCAAAATGATTCAAATAAAGTTTTGTTGCTTACGGTAATAAGTTTTTACTCACACTGCCAGAAAATAAAGAAAATGAAGCAACCTGTGTTTCGAAGAGCTTGTGAAGGAAGTATAGTAAGTACCACTTTTTCAACGAAAAGGTATTCTGGTTTCTGCCACTCAAAAGGTAGTTATTGCTTTTTTAAAACATTAATTTGCATTTTAGTTATCACAGTTTTATACACATTTTGTTGTTGTTTTTGTTAGTTTAATGTTTTGCTTTGAATTCAGGCTAAAATAAATGAAATCAAGTTCTCAGAAGTCTAAGAGAAAAGGAGATTAAAGGAAAATTATAATCCTTGAAGTAATAAAATATATAACACAAAAAATAGTGACTTAGACTGGGATAAAATATTTACAGATGACACATCTGATAAAGAACTATTATTAAAAATATACAAAGAGCTCTTAAAACTCCACAATAAGAAAATAAACAACCCAATTAAAAATGGGCAAAAGAGATGAACAGACACCTCACAAAAGGAGATATATGGATGGTAAATAAATATATAAAAAGATGCTCAACATCGTATGTCACCAGGGAATGACAAATTAAAACGACAAGAAGATAGCACTGCACACCTCTTAGAATGGTGAAAATCCAAAACACTAACACCACCACATGCCGGTGAGGATGTAGAGCAATGGGAACTCTCATTTATTGCTGGTGGGAATGCAAAACAGTACAGCCACTTTGGAAGACAGTTTGGTGGTTTCTTACAAAATTAAGCATACCCTTACCATATGATCCAGCAGTCACGCTCCTTGGTATTTACTCCAGAGTTGAAAACAGGTTTACACACAAACCTGCACACTGAAGCTGCTGATGCAGCTTTATTCATAATTGCCGAAAGCAACCAAAATGCCCTTCAGTAGATGAATGGATAAATAAAGTATGGTACATCCACACAACGGAATATTAATCAGTAGTAAAAAAATAATAATAAACTACCAAGCCATGAAAAGACATGTAGGAAACTTAGATGCATATTACTCAGTAAAAAAAGCCAATCTGAAAAGGTTACAATGCAAGAAATTTTCACATATTGAGGTATGGGGAAGTCATTCTGGCATATACGTGATTTGGCTTGAATAGAATAGCCTGTTCTGTAGCCTATCAGACAAATTGTACGTCTGCTTTAACCATTAAGAAAAAGAGGGAAGGAGGGAGAGCACAGAGAATTTCAGGGCAGTGAAATTATTCTATATGATACTATCATGGTGCCTACATGTCATTAAAGATTTGTCAAAATCCATAGAATGTGCACCAGAAGTGAACTCTAATGTAAACTACGGACTTTGAGTGACAATGACGTGTCAAGGTAGGTTCATCTGACACAGGAGGTTGATACTGGGGAAGCCCGTGCATGTGTGGGGCAGGGGGTATATGGGAATTCTCCATACTTTCCACTCAATTTTTTTTTTTTTTTTTATGCGGTACGTGGGCCTCTCACTGTTGTGGCCTCTCCCATTGCGGAGCACAGGCTCCAGACGCGCAGGCTCAGAGGCCATGGCTCACGGGCCCAGCCACTCCGCGGCATGTGGGATCTTCCCGGACCGGGGCACGAACCCGTGTCCCCTGCATCGGCAGGTGGACTCTCAACCACTGTGCCACCAGGGAAGCCCTTTCCACTCAATTTTGCTGTGAAACCAAAACTGCTCTAAAAAATGTCTATTTTTTAAACTATTAACTGATTTTTAAACAAATATATCAGACTTAACATATTTAAATGGAGTCACCCTTCAATGTAGTTACCTCAGCAGGTCATGCTTTTATTCCATTGCTCAAAATATTTCCGAAACTCCTCTTTTAAAATTGTCTTCAATGTAGATTAATGACCACAGTCTTCCCCAGCCCACATTTACAAAAATAATATGTGGCCCTGTAGAAAACTGGGACAATGCATAAAGGCACAAGAAAAAAATTAGATGTTTTGGTCACATTGTTTCCATCTTCTTACAAAATAGGCTTCTCATGTGTTTTGATAACCTATGCTTTTTCTTCTTAAAAATATCAATACTTTGTAAATATTTTTCCCAGTTATTAGAAGCTTTTCTAAGACATGACTTTTAATGACTGCAGAGAATGCACCATAACTTAATCACCCCTCAGCTGTTGGAGAGTCCTCTTATTTGAAGTAGTGCCTCACTAAATTTAAGAACGCAATTTATCAGCAGTTTTCACTCTTTCTAAAATCCAAATTTGCCCTC